TACCTGGAATCCCTCTGTCTCTTATTTTTCCTTCCTTATAAACATTAAACACCTGGGTTTACTCCAACCTAATGGTCAATTTCATTGAATAGCAGGATTTAGCCTATTCATATTTTGCATATCAATTGATATGTCTGATTTTATTCCTAAAGTCTTAACTTTACATTTTGTATTTATCTTACTTTTTCTTTCTTCTTCCCTTTTCCTTACTTTTATGGGCTTTTACTACTTCACAGCTAAGTGAAAGCCAGATACCAATTCTTTCTGCACATTTTAAGTCATTATTCATCATTTCTTCCCACTTCATGAGACTTTGATTCTCCAATGAGATCCTTACAATGCTTTTATCTTCTTTATCTCCTCCTCCAGTATTAGTTTTCTCTCTATAGAATTACTGTCTGTCAACTCCTAAGAGAATCAGTCAAAACTCCCAGGCATTCCATTATTATCCATTTATATTTAACATAACATATGCAGTGTATCTATTTATCCAGTTTTTAACAACCACTCTTTATCCTTCATCTTAATGTCTCTTTCTGATTTGATTGCTATTTGGTTAAGAGTCCCTTTGTGTAGTTTCTCAGCTAGGGTCTTGGGTGATAGAATCCCTGACACCTTGTGGATCATCACGCAGCTTTCTTTTATCTGGATAGTAGAAAAGTGTATTAGCCAGATATAGAATTCTTCAATGGCATTTCTTTTCTCTTGATAGTTTATAGATGTGATTTTACTCTTTTCTAGTGTCTAGTTTGGGAAATTAACAGTCTGGTGTGTGTCTGGTCATTTTTTTCCTGTATGTAATTTGTTCTTTCCATCTATTATAGATGTAATAGATATATTTAGATTTCCTTCTTACCCATAGTATCTGTATGGTGGAAATCCCATATGGCAGTGTACTACTAGACATCACTTTCCATCTCAGTAATCAAGACTTGATGTTGGTAGCTTAAAATAATCCATGATGGGAATATTTATGGAAGTGAGGATTGCAACAGGAGATCTTTCTGATGCAAAAAGCTGATCATGTTATCACTACTTAAAACTCTCTGATGATTCACTCCATTTGCTGCAGGACAAAGTCCAAATTAATTAAATGGGCATGCAAGGTCTTTTATAACCTAAATCTGATATCTACATCCTTACCCATAGATAATCCCAACTCAAACAATGAAACATTTAGGAGTACTTTTATGAAGGCAGACTTTAAGACTGCTTGGTTCAGGCCCTGATATATACACTTCCTTCTTTGTAGGACACTATCTCCCTACCCTCTCTCCATTCCACTCCCTTAATCCCCTCAACTCCACTCCAGTCCCTCAAACACACACCTTTGTCTTAGTTTATTCAGGCTGGTATAACAAAATACCATAGACTGAGTGACCTATGAACAACAGAAATTTATTTATACAGGTCTGGAGGCTGGTAAGTTCAAGATGGAGGCACCAGCATATTCACTGCCTGGTGAGAGCCTTCTTCCTCAAAGATATAGCTATCTTTCACCATAGCCTCATAGGGCAGAAGGAGCAAGAGAGCTCTCTCAGACCTCTTTCATAAGGACATTAATGTCATCATAAGAGCTTTATCCTCATTCATTTCAACATCCAAATTTTCAGGGGACACAAACATTCAAACCATAGGAAACTTCCAATGTATTATTGCCTACTCACTGTTTATATTTAACTTAAAGTTACTTATTCTAGAAAACCTACCTAGTATGCCCAAACCTGAGTTGGTGCTGTCCTGTTCTTACTATTCTTATAATGCTTCTTTCTTTTTATTGTAATTATTTATTTTCTTGTTTATTTCCCATTACAAATAAAGACTTGTCATGTCTCCCACAGTATTCTTTAACTCTAATAGTCAAACTGATTTAATAAATCGATTAATAAGTGGATGAATGAGTGAATACATACCCCCAGTGTTTGGAGAAAAGGTAAAAAGATAAAATTGACAAGAGAAGAAAAAAGATTAAAAGAAAAAAAAAAGGAGTGGTAACCTATTGATAATTTGAACCCAAAAAGAATATTGATGTAGCCCTAAAGAACACAGCAAATAGGTCAGTAGCAATAATTGAGGAATAGCAAAACAAAACTACCTTGAAAGGAAGAAATATATAAATCAATAGAGCTAAATTATTATTCTATGTCACTTCTTTCATTCTTCAAATATATCTGTCATTATGTATTTTTTAACATGCCACTAAACTCTGTCTTCTGATATTTTTGAGAAAAACGATTTCCTCACTTTATATACAGAATGAACTGCTCTATGAAATTCAGATGCAAAAAGAGTCATTTCTTCCAGACTTTTAATAATTGCTTCTACTTTATTATTAGCAGGAAGCATAGCTCCTTAATTTAAACTCTCCTCTTCATCCATCTTGGATTAAGAAACCTGGGTATGATTCAGTCCAAAGAGAATCAGATCAGCTTTCCTGTCACTTCCAGAGGAACATGGGAGTCTGAGACCACCACCACTATATTGCTTGATGAGGCACATTATTGGTCCCACACAGATGTTTTACTCTTTTGTTGATGTTCTTCCAGGTCCCAGTGCCTGCATGAGTCATAGCAGTGGCTAAGCTTGGCCAACAGACGCTTCAAAACCACTTTTTCAGCCAGTGTTCAGGGAGGAATCACTGTCCACTCCTAGACTAAGAAGTCATACACAAGCACCCTTGTAACATCTGCTTTTATAGTATCCTATCTCAGATGGTTTTAACCATCTACTGCAACAAAAGTTTTCACTTGCTTGCTCTTAGTGTCCAGGGCATAATCACTGAGTTCACTCCTAGACTTAGTAGTCACACTTGGCCTTCTTTTATAACCTTCACTTGTACAAATATCCTACTTCAAGTGACTTAAGACATCTGTTGCAATAAAGGTTTTTAACTTCTTAATGTGCTGCATTAATATATTATTTTATATTAAATCACTATCTTTTTACTATATTGTAGTCAATTGCTAATATTTCATGTAGAATCTTTTAAATATGTTATATAACCCACGTATGCATTTTTCTTCTATGCTACCATTGCCAAGCTGTGATATTAGTAAAATGTTAATAACTTTCTAAAAAAATTTAAAATATTTTGCTCTTACTGAAAAATACTATAAATATGAAAAGTGAATCTCTTCCAAGGCTGAAAGAATGTATTGATAATGCTATAATGACTTAAAACCAGTTTCCTGTTTATGGCTATATTCACATTTTCTAATTCTTCAAATGTGATAATTACTGGGTTATCAGGAAAGTCATGACCCACTTTTGCATAGAAAAATATAGAAAAATATGTCATAAATTTCCTGAAGACCTACTAGCATGCTCCTATCATTTTTTCTTAAGAGTTAAAAAAGTAATTGCATAATTATGTATTTTTTGCCTTTGATTCTGTTGTTATAACGCTATAATTATTCCTAATTTTCTATGTCTGTACCTTTCCCTCCTTTTTAAAATTAAAATTCTAATGATTGGACTATATTACAAATATTTATAAAACTAACTATTTGCATATTTTTAAATTCTATCATTTGTGGTATGCATATTCTAACTTATTAATTTCCATTTGCATATGGCTGTTATTTTATCACCTATTTTGTCTTCTGTAGTTACTGTGTCTTGTCCAAAGTCTTGTCTGAAATATTCCTTTCATTCTTTGTATCTTATGGAAGGAGATAATACTGAGTTTATCATTGAGCACGGCTTTGCTCAAATTTCATACACACTATATTTTATTTAACTTTGTTTATAGGAAGGGCTTTTTCCTAATGTGTAATTATGGCTACTCTTTTTTAAAAAGTTGTTTTTTGATTTGCCTCAGAATGTGAACACTGGAGAGAGACAGAAAAGTAAGGGAGAAAGAGAACACTCACGTGGGGATGGCCACATTGCAATCCCTTCTCCGTTTCTCCTTTCTGGATTTTGGGCACACATGCACATGCATCCAGCATGCTTTTCAAGCCAGCGGGTCTGACAGTTAAACTGCACAGTCAGCCATGTGAGGTCCGGACACCCCAACAACCATGTCAATGGCTGATCTGACTCTTTGCTTTTGATCAAAAAGTTACTGAATTTTTAATGTCCTATTGGATTTATTTAATCTGTTACCAATTGCATTTTGTTCAAGTAGTAGAGCCACATAATTTCTGCTTTTGAAATGTGTTAGATTTTATCTTTGTGACCACAGACTGGTGGTCACAAAGATAAAAGATCACATCTGTCAGTATTCCACAAATATTTGAAAAGAAGATTTATTCCTTCTTTCTATGGTACAAAGTTCGTTTGTAGCTATTAAAACATTTTTGTTGATTATGTTATTAAAATACTATGTATCCATGTTTTTATCTTTACTCGAGCTATTAAGAGGATTCAAAATTTAATTAATGAAGTTGTTCTAATACATACACAATGAACTTTGCACTCTATAAACAAAGTGGTATGAGTAAAGCATCTTTTGGTTTCCAGCAGTAACACAGATTTAGTTGTTTCTGTAATACGCTGGCCTTTTAAATCAGAGTTTGACATGTGTTACATTTTTAGAAAAATTATATTTGTTTGTGTTCTATCATTTTCATTTTCTGCCATTGTTTTACAGTTTATCAACCAGCAATAGATCTGTATATAAGCTCAGCTTAGACAAACCTGACCATAAGTATAATTACATGAAGACATGTTTTTTAATGATTTCCTTGTTGTTGGCTTACAAAGAATATAATACAGTATAAAGAGTACTAGCCCAGGATCTGCATTTGTCTTGGAAAATATATCTCTTCTCCCAGAGTTTTATTTTTAAAATTCGATGACACTGTAAGTTGGATTTGCTTATAACTAGACCTTACTAGATTCTTACAATTGGATTTTATGGATATGTGATCAGGGATAACCTGATACATAAACATATTCTATTCATAACTTTAAATTTTATTTACTGACTGCTTGAATATAAACATTGCTTCTTAAAGGTTTGACGATGAATGAAAAGAATTATTGTTTACTTACAGCATTCCCACCAATGACGTCTTCAAAGCCAAGTGTGGACATTCCAAATTTGCCCTCTTCCTCTTCTTCCTCCTTCTCTGTCTCACCTACATACTCCATGACTGTAATAATCTCCATCATGTCCAGCTTTGCCATATTTGTGCTTCTTGCCATAACTACTCTTTATTGCTGCCGAAGAAGAAAACAATGGAGAAATAAGAAAAGGTGAGATTCTAGTTTAAACTAATCTGACATCATAATATATTAAAACCTACACATTTAATATTGGGATTGAAAATGGAAATGTGTGTATATGTGTTTGTGTGTGGGTGTGTGTGTGTGTGTACACAATGGATAACAGTATCAAATTAGTTTATTCTTTATATCATTTACCATACATATGTATATGTGTGTGTGTGTTATTGCTGCTACTCTCTTTTCTTTTAAAGAATTTTTTAAATTTAACTTTATTTATCTTAATTTGACCACAGAGAGACAGAGTGAGAGAGAGAAGAGGGAAAGCAAGAAAGCAAGCCACCAGGTCCAGGACTTGAACTGCGGTCAGCCATATGGGAGTCCAGTGCCCTTAACCACTATGCCACCTGCCAGCCCCAATCTCTTAATAGTATTCATAGCCCTGCTTTAAAATTAAGCACCCCTCACTATGGTCTTTAAAAATGTCAGTGACTTTTTGTATAGGATCATATGTCCTAAGGCTAATTTTTCACAACAGACAGAATCTAGACAATAATTTGGAAGAAAATGGCTATTTCTGCTCCACATCTTCCCCTCAGTCTCATTGCCACTGCTAGTGACAAAAGTCTAGATAAAAAAATATGCCTTTTGACTGAAGACCAAACAAAATATTTTATTGCTCTCAAATCAAAGGATCTTTGGCTGCCTTAGTATAATTTGTTTTGTTTACTCCTAAATACTATATTGCTTAGAATCTAAGTCTGAGTGTGGATCTTACCTGCTACTAAGCTCATGATTGGTCTTGCCTGTCTTGCCCACAGAGAATCAGCAGCAGTAACCCTCACCACACTGCCTTCTGAGCTCTTGCTAGACAGACTTCATCCCAACCCCATGTACCAGAGGATGCCACTCCTTCTGAATCCCAAATTGCTCAGTCTGGAGTATCCAAGGAATAACATTGAATATGTGAGAGATATTGGTGAGGGAGCATTTGGAAGGGTCTTTCAAGCAAGGTAAAGTTACTCATGAAAGAAAACATCTTTCCATTATGTCTGAAGGAGTTCCCAAGCCATTAGCTTGATATATATATATACCATGGATAACAGTATCAAATTATTTTATTCTTTATATCATTTACCTTATTTATAGTACATGTTATATTTTATATCTTAATAATTTTCCCTCTTTGCAGGAAAATAGAAATATATATGGAAAGAATTATTTCATTGAATTTGAAAGCAATGATTTACAGGAAATCCAAATCTTCATTTATATATTCAAATGACAAAAATTAATAATTCCATTATATTTTTCAGAAAAAAGTCATATGCTTTTAATTATAATTTCTTGTAATGTAGTTAGTAGACAATTCTCAAACTTACCTCTCTTCCATTTTTCATTGCTAAATTTCCCACTTCATTTAAAGTTTACTTTGAAATAATGCTTTAATATAAGAACTCAAAGTCTGACCTTTATAGACATTAAGCAGAGATTTATGAAACAACAGAGCACTAGAAGAAAAAACTATGCAAAAAAAAAAGAAAAGGAAACATTGAGGCCAAGAAAGGAGTATTAGAACAATCACACTTTTCTGTGAATTAGAATAAAATAGTCTATTTGCATGGATGCAGGCTTACAGACAGAGAGTTGGACCAGAGAATATGGATTTAGTTTGAGTTACCAATTGTCTCTTGAACCTTATCTCCATCCGTGGGGCTTTGGTATGGACATTATATGAATAATGACCATCTCACATAAATACTTTTTTTGGAACCAAAAATATGCAAGATACCCCTTAAGGCTCCAAGAGGAATATAAAAATGAGTAATTCACCTCAGTGAATTAAGATTCTGGCCAAAATTGAAGAGATTAGAACGACACTGTAATTCATAATGTATTTTTTAAACTTACTCTGTGTTTGAATAGCCCCAGTGGCTTATATTAATTGGAGTCAAAAAGTCTTATGCTAGGCTACTGTGAACTTCCTATGGTTCTGTGGCTCTAGGAAAGGCTGCAAGAGTGGGGTATATGTATGCATGCAGGTGGATATTATGTGAGTGTGTATAATGGTCCTGATCTTCATTTTCTTTCTCAATGCATTTATCTCTCAGGGCTCCAGGCTTACTTCCCTATGAACCTTTCACTATGGTGGCAGTAAAAATGCTCAAGGAAGAAGCTTCAGCAGATATGCAAGCGGACTTTCAGAGGGAGGCAGCACTCATGGCAGAATTTGACAACCCTAACATTGTGAAACTCTTAGGTATGAATATATTAGTGAGGCAATTTATTTCATTCAGAGATAGATGCTTTTCATGCCATTCTTCCTTCATACTTCACTTAAGCTTTTTCTTTCATTTCTTGGTCAGCGAGATATCTCTGTTTCCAAGGTTAACCTCTTCTATCCCAACTCTGTAGGATATTCATTGCTTAATGAATTATTCTTTTTGAATTTTATCACTTTAGTATTTCTCTATTTTTTTGCCTCATTCTTATTCATAAAAATGTTTAAAATGCCCCCAGTATAAAACATGTTTTATGTGATGCATATTTGACAGTCAGATGAAGTTAAGGAAGCAGATAGACATGAGGGCCTAGAATTCAGGGAAAAAAAGACCTGGTTGTAGATAGGAGTCTTAGGTTATTAGAATACACCAAGTATATACAGTCATGAATCTGGGAAAGATATCTAAGGATGGAAAAGGACAGAGAAGAGGTCTAAGGACTAAGCTCTGGAACATTACAACCGTTTAGAGCAGAAAAGAAGAGGAACAAAACAGACTGAACAGGAACCACCAATGAAGTTGGAAGTAAATCAAGGCAATGTGGTGTCCTGGAAGCCAAATGAAGTATTTCAAAGAGGTGAAAGTGATCATGTTACATGCAATAAGTCAAGTGAAAGAAAACTATAAAAAGACCTTGGATTTGGCAACATGGAGGTTCATTATAGCCCTGCTAATGGAAGTTTCTAAGGAATGTTGGAAGCAAAGTAAACAAAAGTGAATTCAAAAAAAGGGTGGGAGGAGAATAATTGGAGTAAAAGTAGAGACAACTTGTTTTGCAACCTAGAAAGGTGAACTGAGAAATATGAGTAGAGCTGACAAAGAGAAGAATAGGATCTAATTCTTTCCTATGAAGGTAATGGTATTTTTGCAAACTAATGGGAATGATCTAGTTATGAGAAAGAAAATTGATGCTAGGAATTAGCAAATAGTGGAAGAAATGTCTTTAAGTAGAAGAGAAGGGGAAAGGGATCCACTGGAGGGATTGGCTGTTATTACAAGAATGTCCAGATCAGCTTTAAGAAGAAGAAAGAATGGAGATAGATATTAGTGGGAGAGCATGGAAGGTTGCTTCTTATTGATTTACTTTTCTCTGTGAAGTCAGAATCAAGATGATCATCTGAGAGTGGGGATGGGAGAAGAGGTGTTGAAGATCTGAGGGGAGAGAAGGAAGAAATGGCCATCTAGAAAAGTAAAACATAAAATGAACTAGGGAAATGCAGTGCAATTGGCAGGCATATTAAGAGGCCAAGTGAAGTTGGAGCTCACACATTTTACACAAAACCAGTCAACACATAGTGTTTTCATCCAAATGTCACCCTTTGGTTATAAACCAGGTAACATGGAGTTGGGTTTAATCAGAATTAGCATTTTGCCACACAAGAAAATTAAAGCAAAACTGGGGCAAAGAAGAGGAGGGTATGCAAAGGAGTGATTATTATGATTGGCCAAGTAACTTAAGCTATTAAGGAAAGAGAACATGAGAGGAATGAGAGATCATAAAAAAGGGAGAGGAGAAAATGGACTAGAAGTCCCAATGGTGTTAAAGGAGTTTTTAAGCTAGGGCGTTATAGGCCCTGAAGTAGAGTACAAGAGGCGGGATGGTGAACAAGAAATGCGATGGCAGAAAAGAGGTTAGAGACATAAATATGAAATGCCACAGTTAAGAAAATGATCATGAGGATGAGTGACTGAAGCTGGGTAGAGGTCACAAGGAATGGAAGTCAAATAACACAGAAGTTAAAATATTGGAAGGGATCTGCATGGATATTAAAATCAGGAGTTATGATAGTATCTTGAACAGTTTCTGGTACATTATAGGGACTCTATGAATATTTATTGAATAAATGGATGAAATTTATTCAGTACTTAACAGTTCATTTTGAAAATACTTCTTCCACTTCCTCTGCTCCTAAGCATTTATTCATTCATTCGTTCACTCATCCCAGGACAATCTGACTCTGGCTTCTGCCCCTCCATTTTCAAACATTATTCATTTATTTATTTACTTATCAAATATACACATACATTCATAATCACCAAGCAATTTCCTTTTCCTTCCTTTAATTGTCAAAGGGTGCATGCCCTCACCAGTGACAGAGAGACAAAGAGAGGGAGAGAGAGAAAGCACTCCTAATTGGACAAGGTCACACTATAATCCCTTCTCCTCCATTTCTTTTTCCATTTGAGATCGTGGACAAGCAAGCACGTACACCCAGCATATCATTCAAACCAGGACCAGGACTCAAACCACAGTTACCATATGGAATCCAGCTTCCTTAACCATTAGACTGTAGGGAGCCCAATAAGGCAACTTTTATTTCAAGAGATGGTCTCTTCTCAGTCTTCATCTTAATCCTTTTTTATTTTTTTGAAGTATTTGACACTATACACTGCCCTCTTCCAAACATCAACGATCCAGCTCTGTCCTTGGTTCTCTTCCACCCTTAATCTTGCTCAACAGCTGTCCTCCACTGTGCTATCCACTTCTAAGAGCCAGTGGGACCCAAGATTCTCTCCTCACTCTACGTTCTTCTTCCATGCAACTCTTCTTGGGAAAGCTCATGTCCTCCCTTAACATTTTAGTAACTCAAGAATCAAAATCTCCAACATAATTTTTCTCCTAATCTTCAGATATACATTGCCTATTACTTTCTGTATACTTATAACCAAACTTGAATTTCATAAAACCACACCTGATAATGCCTTTTAAACTAGCCATTTTATTTCTGGGTCTCTACCTTAGGCATTTACCTAAACATTTATGAAGAAAGTTGAATCTCTCCTATCACATTGATTTTAAGATGCCTGTTTAACATCTATCAGGGATATAAAACACAGTCCTAGAGCTTAAGAGGGATACTGAAGAGAGATAAATACTCTGGCTTTTTGAATTTTGTGTATCTTAAAAGCCTTTGATAATGATCTTCAAGATGAGATATTTTCTTGTTTAAAATATACAACAATGTTTTATTGTTTCTTGAAATGTTGACTCTACATTTATACATAAGTGTTCACAATTTTACAAGATATTGAATTCTTGGGATTGGGTCAAACAAAAAACTATGTACAATTTGCAAATTTATGATTGTTGTGATAATATGTTTATATATCACTATGAGTTTTCTCACATTTCCCAACAAGAACTCAAGTTTATATTACCATTTGTCAAATGCTCTAAATTCCATTTTGATGTTCTGTGATCTCAAGGTCTGTTTTTAATTCAAGTGCACATAAGTAGTATTTATTCATGTATGTGATTCTACTACTCACACAGCTCTTGAATGTTAACACCATTTAAGTGAGATGATGACAGTAGAAGAAGGATTGGGAAAATCCATAAAATTAATTTCCAGTAAAAGAGGTCTATACATTTAGAATACCAGGCATTTACAGAACATATTTGTATGTTTAAAAGGATCATTAACAAGTTGAATCCAAAGATAGTGGTTAAGTGTTATGCACAGGGAATCAGATCCCACATGGCTGCCAAGGGTTTGAGTTCTAGTCCCAGAAGCTTAACACACTGAGTGCACACGCATACACTCAGGACCTTGATAAAAAATTGAAGAAAAAAGGACTTCAGCATTACCAGGCCCAGATGGGAGTGCATTCTCTCTCTCTTTCTCTCTCTCTCTCTCTCTCTCTTTCTCTCTTTCATGCTCTCTGGCATAATACTGGGTCATAGAAAAATACATCATGACTTTCCCAATGACCTAAGAAAAAACAAAATTTCAACAACTAGCAAAAAATATTCCTTGCTTTTAGTCATTTTAGTTCTAGCGTATACTTGTTTCATAGTCAGAGTTGGAGGATATAGGTATAAATATAGATATATGCATAACTTTAGAATAGAAAGAGGCATTATAGGTTATTGACTCTTACCCAATATGCTGGAAGTCAAAGAAGTGGAACAATGAGGTGAGACAATTCATTCAAGATGTCACATTAAAGTTTAAAGACATAGCTTAGGACTAGGCATAAGGTTTTCTTACACCTATGTGTCCATTAATTCACCCATTTATCATTTTTTTAAATTTTGCTAGATTGTACATGTGCTTGCAGGAGAGAGATGGGAGGGGATAAGAAATTACACCCCTATAGGTTATAGCCATGCTGCAATTCCTTCTCCATTTTTTACTTTCAGGATTCTAGGCATGCATGCATGCGTACCTGGCATGGTTCTCAAGCTGCTGAGTCTCGGGCTTGAACTGCGCAGTCAGCCACGTGGAATCTAGCCACCCTAACCACCATACCATGGGATAAGCTGCTCCCATCTTTAAACTGGTCTATTCATTCATCCCTCCATCCACTCATTCATCCATCCATCCTGTTCATCTATCAATATCTTGAAACTCCATCACCAATCATGTGTAGTAGCAGGTTTGAGGGTACAGAGATAACTAAAACCCAGTTCTCTCAAGAATTTTATTTTGAAGTCCAAACCAAGAGTTAGGGTTGAGTTATTTTAACATATAAAACACTTTGAGCTCAAGTGTGTGTGTATATATGTGTATATTTATTCACATATATGACTATAAATAATATGTGTATCTAATTATAACCATTACAAAGTAGAAATATTCTATATATTTTCTGTATCAGGAAGTGAAACATCTCATTAAATAACCTCACCTTAAAAACATATTTTAATTTCTCAGAACAATATGTTGTCACATTTTCTTTCCCCAGCATATGAATTCTTTTCTAGCCCAGCTGCAGCAGTGTGTGCTGGATAATGTTTGTACTCAGTACACTGAGGCTACATGGAAGCCCCAGTTTTGATTCCTGGTCTACCCTACAGATTAGGCATGATGGTGTGTGCCCATAACCCCAGCTACTCAGCCATAACCCCAGCTACTCAGATAACTGAAGGACACAGACACACACACACACACACACACACACACACTTTTTTTTTTCTTTTTTTGGAGAGGTGTTTTTTTTTTTTGCTATAGGGCATGTGCGCTCACCAGAGAGAGAGACAGAGAGACAGAGAGCAGGAAATCACCCCCCAGGGAGGATGGCCACACCGCAATCCCTTCTCCTCCGTTCTCCTCTCGGGATCTTGGGCACGCATACACACGCGCCCGGCGTGAGTTTAAGCCACCGGGTCTGGGACTCGAACCTCGGTTGACTATGTGGGAGTCCAGCGACACAGCCATTATGCTAACTGCTGGTCCCACACACACTTTGAAAATCAACTCATCCAGTAGAACAATGGTAAAGCCAATAGATAACGCAGGCAAATCCCTATCAACTAGAGATAATCCAAAGATGACCCTGAAGAAGAAATCTCTAACCCAATAGACATGACTGTGATTTCCCTTTAGCACATATAAATATGCTGACTGCTAAACTCTCTGGAATTAAAAACTAGCTCCAAAATAAATAAGCCAAGATAACTATATTTCTTGTTTCTTCTCTTTGAAAGAGACTTTTAATTTTTGCTTGAAAATAATAATAAATCTATTTTTATGATTTGAAATTGTGTCCATCTAATTTATCCAAGTTATTCAGTTTCTCTCTCAATATAGCAATATTTTATTATTTAAAATGCCTTATTGGCATTCCATCTAAGATTCTATTTAGATTACGATTTTTGTAGAATGAACATCATAAAACTTAAATTTCAAAATGTTTGACTAAAGCAACCTAAATACTTCATCTGAGAATCATACTGTTTTTTGTTATTCTTTCCAAATTTCATATATCTTCCTTATTATCATTTTCCAGAGAAGTAACTGGAAACAGAGAGGTTACTGTGCACATTTGGAGCGAATGCCCATACATCAGTTCATTCAGTAAACATTCTCAGACACCTGGCTCTTCCACACACGTGCTAGGGGTGGAGAACTTAATGGGCAAGAGGACATAATCTTTACTTTCAAAGTGTTAAACGTTACAGAAACCTCCAATAAACAGATGATTGAAAAATAGGATGTTAGGTCCTATATTAAAGGCTGATGGATGGAAACTAATGGAAGGGTCAGAAGTTGGGACGTATTAGAAGAGCAGTACACTGAAAATTAAAAGGTAAATAGAAGTTTAGACAAAGAAATGGGGCCAGGGATCAACAAACAACCCGGAGACCATAGTCTCCAATCTGGTCTTCTGCTTTTCGGGGTTCCTCCCGTTGAGTCATTTTAGAAAGAACATCTAACGGACGATGCTGTTTTGGTTGCAGGCGTGTGCGCTGTGGGGAAGCCTATGTGCCTGCTCTTTGAATACATGGCCTACGGCGACCTCAACGAATTCCTGCGCAGCATGTCCCCTCACACTGTGTGCAGCCTCAGCCACAGTGACTTGTCCATGCGGGCTCCTGTCTCCAGCCCCGGACCCCCACCTCTCTCCTGTGCCGAGCAGCTCTGCATAGCAAGGCAGGTAGCAGCCGGCATGGCTTACCTCTCGGAGCGCAAGTTTGTCCACCGGGATCTAGCCACCAGGAACTGCCTGGTGGGTGAGAACATGGTGGTGAAAATCGCCGACTTTGGCCTCTCCAGGAACATCTACTCCGCGGATTACTACAAAGCTAACGAGAACGATGCCATCCCTATCCGCTGGATGCCGCCGGAATCCATTTTCTACAACCGCTACACCACGGAGTCTGACGTGTGGGCCTACGGCGTGGTCCTCTGGGAGATCTTCTCCTATGGCCTGCAGCCCTACTACGGGATGGCCCACGAGGAGGTCATTTACTACGTGCGAGATGGCAACATCCTCTCCTGCCCCGAGAACTGTCCCCTGGAACTGTACAATCTAATGCGTCTGTGCTGGAGCAAGCTGCCTGCCGACAGGCCCAGTTTCACCAGCATTCACCGCATTCTGGAACGCATGTGTGAGAGGGCAGAGGGAGCTGTGAGTGTGTAAGGTCGGAGACGCTCAGATAAAACGCTGCACCCCTCTCAGACTCTCTGAGCCAGAGGAATCCTACAGCAGGGGCCCAACCAGACTCAGGTAGGGAAGAATAGCAGACATGAGTAGCTGCCCCTGACTTACCAGGGGAAAAAAAAAAACAGTGCAGAATCCCTGTGATAGAAAGACAGGGTAAACCAGTGAATGGAAACAAGCTAGGAGCTACGTCAGACAGCAGGAGATACCTATTCTTCCTCATGGGGTAGTTTGTAACACAAATTAGACATGAAAGAATGTCGGCCTGCTCAGTTCCTGAATTAGCTGGCAGTAGAATAAGGCTCTGCTGAACTAAATTTTAATGCGAAATAAGGCTCAGAGCTTCATGTGTAATAAGTTAACGACCGTCTGCTATAAAAGTAGCATATTTTTATGTAAGACATTGAGGTTAAGTACGGAAAGCTAAAAGAAGGAAAAATACTCATTTTCTCACTGCTTAGAGAAAGGTGTTAGTTTTTTGTTGAACTTCTTTCTTGCATTTAATGCGTAATTTCAGATTTGTATTCTGCAGAGTTGTGGTTATACTTTACTGATAGAGGGCTTCTAAGGAATAAAGTGACAAATCAAGCTATATTCTTACTGTGATTTTTAGTTCCCTTCTCCATCTTGGTGAGCTTCCTTGAGAAATTTTTCTTCCTGTACACTTGTCATAAATCTGCTTATTTTAGTCCTATAGTTTTTCGAAGTCCTATGGTTTTTGTATCTTACTGATTTTTTTTCTCTGAAATTTTTATTGTGTATTTTCCTTTGTTTTAATGTTTATATCTTCTTCTTTTCAGGACTTTGTTATTCTTGTTGTATTTAACAATCATTTTCATTTTATTTCATAACACAATAAATATACTGGCAAAAACAATACTTTTAAAAATAACAGTGTTGACAGATATATATGTACCTTTTAAAAGTCTATGTGCCTTTGAAGCCACACATTTAAAATCTGCCATCCAGTAATTGTGTTACCACAGGCTATTAAATTTCTTAAGTTGGGGCCAGCAGGTGGCATGGTAGTGAAGGCACTAGACTCCCACATGGCTGACTGAGGTTCAAATCCACATTCAATGGCTTGAAATATCAGACCAGGCACGTATGCATGTATGCCCAAAATCTAAGAAGAGTAGAGGAGAAGGGGATTGTGGGGTGGCCAACACCCTGAGGGGTGATTTATCACTTTCCCTGTCACATTCACTCTCAGATGAACACACACTCCCTATGGCAAAAATCTTAAAGGAAAAAGGATTTCTTAAATGATAGTTTACTAGATGGGATTTTATAAGATACTCGTTGCTCTAAGCTATTTCCAAACCAATGTTCTCATACATTCTGACTTTTTTATTTCTTTTTAAAAACTAATTCAGTATGACTATAAAATTAATATCATGTTGCTTAGAAACTTGCTGCATGATATCTTAACCTATTGTCTTGTAGTTTGTGATAAAAAGACTAAAACAAAACAAGCGAACAAACAGAAAAAAACTCTGACCCCAGCTTCCTAGTGCTTAATATTTCACAGTGGAACCCCACACAATTTATCATTATCTAATCCAACATAAATGCCATGAGCTTATTCTTGATATAGTATAAACCAAACTTTTCTTGACAAATAAACAGGGACTAGAGTATAGCTATCTATTCTATACCAGCTGCCTTTAATTCAAACTAATTGGTAGTTAGGGCAATAGAAAAATGGTCTGAGTTGCTGAAAGTCAACTTTCAACCACCTGCTGGAAAACTTACCTGAAATCTTCAAATCTGCCTAACATAACAACTTGACATCTTTGCCAGAACCCTGCTTTTTTATTCATGGTCTCTCTAGACAATCAAGAAAAAAAAAAAAAAAAAAGGTGAAATTACCCTGGACTTTACTCTGTTTCATTTCCAACATTCTCTTAGTTTCGCTCCCTAAAATCCTTCTGCTCAAATTCCCTTCTCTTCAGTCTAACTGACCACTGCTCAAGCTGTTACTACTTACCTGTCTACTGTCTGATCTTCCTCTCACAGCAGTAAAGAGAGGTTATTGATGGTCTATTTCATATGTAGGGAGTTCAGAATTTAGGATTGGGAGCTAGAGTGGTGCTTTGGGTTAAAGCCATGAGTATAAGTCCACAAATGGGGGCCAGCAGATAGCATAACGGTTGCATCACTGGACTCCCACGTAGTCAACTGCAATTCGAGTTCCAAACCTGGAGGCTTAAAACTCACACTGGGTGTGTATGCATGCCTGCCCCCAATCCCAAGAGGAGAATGGAGAAGGGATTGCTCCATGGCTATCCCCTTTTGGGTGGGAGGAGATTTCTCACTTTCTGTCTCTCTTTCTCTCCAGCAAGTGTATATACCCTATAGCAAAAAATCTCTTAAATAAATAAGTCCACAAATGGTGCTGTCTTTCAAATGGCTAGATGAAGAATGGCATCACAGTTTGAGTCCAAAACAGAAAGTCAAGAAGCCAACGCAGCAAAGTTGGAGTCAGTAAGCAAGTGAAGAATTTTAGTGTAAATATTCATTTCACGTTTTAAGTGGTTCAAATATGTGTGTGTCACATATGCTCGGCAAAATTCAAGCTGTCTGGAATTTTTCAGCTGGTAAAGTTTTATTTCAAAAAAAAGATAAGAAGTTCAGGCTAATAGATAAAACTATCTCACAGAGAATCAGGCTGGGACAGTTGCTCTTACAGCTTCTGCTCCTGGTACCATCTTGTTTCCAGAGCCCTTGTTCTATCATGCACCTCTGCTCCCCTCTCTTATTGCTGAGTAGACACTCATTTTTCTGTCTCTTCTTCACAGCTTCTACTGCCTTCTAGACTCTCTCTCTCTGGTATTCATGATGCCAAAGCAAAAGAGCCATATAAATACAGAGAAATAGAGTAAATGAGTAAGTAAATATGAAAGCCATTCAATTTGGTTAAATATTGAAAATCATTGAAAACTAGAATAAAAACTAGAGCTCTCATCTATCCCAATATAGTAGCAGCTGGTCCCATGAAATAAAGGAAGAGCTTTATAGATGACGTAATGGATCCTAATAAATCACAAATATCTAAGGCTCAAAGAACTTGGTCAATGAAACATGTTGCCAACCTTAAGGGAGCTATAGAAATGAATGAATCCAGCCTGGCTCAAAGTGTACAAATGATACAAACTATACCGTTAATATAAAACATCAGAAACTTCAACTCGTGGAATTTCCACCCAGAGTACATTCAGACCCAGGATTATGAATTTATTCCCATGAACACACAAAGGGAGTTCAAAAAGTTTGTGGAAAATTGAAGTAAAGTGTAAGTTTTAATTTTGGTCCAAAATTTTCCTTGAATTCTATATTTTCTTTTATACTAGGCGTTTTCCATGCTTATCAAAAACTCTTTATAGTAAAAAAAAATCAGCTAGTATTTATTGAAAATGTAGCATGTATATTCTAAAGCCTTCACATATGTTAGCTTAAATCTCACAAAATCCCTGTGATGTTGAAACTGTGATTATACCCAGTTTTTAGGTGAGAAATAGACACAGACTTTGCAACTGGCCCAAGTGGACAGAGCAAGAGAGCCTAGTTTAGGACCGATAAAGACCTTGTCCTCAACCACTCTTCAGTGGTGCTTCCCTGCATTGTACAAGAACCACTAGCCTTGACAACTATGTGGAGGTGATTTGTAATTTGCATGTGACTTCAAAGTACACACTGTATCCCTTATATTATTAACTTTCCACCTAAATCTTTTTTTTTTTTGAGAGTTTTTGTTTGTTTCTTTCTTTACTATAGGATGCATGTGCTCACCCATCTCTTCTTGGGATTTTAGACACACACGCGCATACACCCAGTATGAGTTTCAAGCTGTCAGCTCTGGGATTTGAACTACAGTTGACCACTTAGGAGTCCAGCACCTTAACCACCAAGCCACCTGCTGGCCCCCACCACTAAGTCTTTTTAACGGATAGCAAAAAAGTGTTTTTTAACATTGTCACTTTAAAGTAATCAAAACATCCAGTAGATGCCATGCTATTTTTCATGAGCTCTAATTTCATTTTCAAATTAAAATTACTAACTTGAGTCCATGGTCTCATGGGTTAAGGGAGCCAAATCCCATGTTGCTGACTACACAGTTCAAATCCTGGACTCAGAAGTTTACAAAACACACCAGGTGATTTGTGTACAAGCCCCAAATCTCGACAGGACAGAGAAATAGAGAAAGAGTTATGGTGTGACCACGACCCGTCTGGGAATGCTTTCTCCCTCTCCTCTCTGCCTTTTTCTGACCACTGGCTGGGTAAATAAATAAATAAATAACACCACTAACATTTCTTCAGTGCACATCCTAATGTTCTGAGTTGCAGGAGCATGGACACATAATTTATTAGTATGTTTTCCTTCTTGAAGATTTTTTTCCATGGCAGAAATAGTATAGAAATTTAAAAAGGGAGATAAGAGAGAGAGAGACACAGTTCTACTGCCACCAAGAGCCAGGCCAGACATCAGTAAGGCACCAGCAAGTCATTTTAAGAGGTCAAATATGTCAAACAAGCTAGAGTATCAGAGTATTTTGCCTGTGACATCAGATAAGACACTCTCTGGTATTGTAGGAGAACAGAAAAAAGAACACTTTCTTTTCACTTTATAGTATATTATGCACCTGTTCCATGTCATTAAGTATTTTTCTACAAACCCAAATTAATTTCTGAATACTATTCCATTCTATGGATACACTGTAATTTTTGACAGTGGACATTTTAGTTTTGTGGTTTTTTTCTAATTTTATTATTATAAGCAATACTGTAATAATCATCCTTATTTTTATGTCATTAATTATCTCTTCATGGAAATTCAGAGAAAGGGAATGTCTAGGCCGACTGACATGCACAATATTAAGATCTCTGCTTTGTAGTGTATCTTCTAGATATATTGTCCCCATGTTTGCATTGTGCAAGGGATCTCATAGCTACAAACATTTGCTATCATAGAAAATTAATTCTTTTCTAGAAAACTTTCGTCCATCCAGTCATTACAAAACAAAATCTCATTTTAATTTAAAAAAAAATAGCGAGGTTGATATTTTTTGGTTCCTAGATCATCAATTCATTTCAATTTTGGTGGTTATCTGCAGGCCATTTTGCTATTGCATTCATTGTCGAATTGAATTGTAAGTCATTTCATAAAAAATTAAATTTGTCATACTGAACACATAAGAGGAAATGTGTATGTATTTTTATTTTGAAAACGTTTTTCTTGCGAAGCA